AGTTTCTTTCATCAGTGTCTTACAGCTTTCAGAGTACAGGTTCTTTGCCTCCTTAGGTAGGTTTATTCCGAGGTATTTTATTCTTTTTGATGTGATGGTAAATGGGATTATTTGCTTAATTTCTCTTTCTGGTGTTTCATTGTTAGTGTATAGAAATGCAACAGATAAAAAATTAAAAATTAAAAAATGCAACAGATTTCTATATATCAATTTTGTATCCTGCAACTTTACTGAATTCACTGATGACCTCTAACAGGTTTCTGGTAGCGCCTTAAGGATTTTCTATGTATAGTATTATGCGTCTGCAAACAGTGACAGTTTTACTTCTTCCTTTCCAATTTGGGTTGCTGTGGCTAGGACTTCCAAAACAATGTTGGATAAAAGTGGCAAGAGTGAGCATCCTTGTCTTGTTCCTGATCTTAGAGGGACTGCTTTCAGCTTCTGACCATTGAACATGATGTCAGCTGTGGATCTGTCAGACATTTTACATTTAATAGAAATCCGCACCTAGACATAGTGCCACTGGCTCTTGTTTCTTGATTTCCCAGTCTGGACAATGAGGAAAGCAATCCTGACAGATGAAAGAAGTCTTATAAGGAATAGAGAGTGAAGGATGGTTGTAAGTTACAGTTAGCTGGCACACACATGATGCCCAATGACTGCATGCACGGAAGAAGGATGCACACTTGAGGCAGGGAGAGTGGGGTGTGCCCATGCTCTTTTCATAATGTTCTTTATGTGTGAGCTTACACGTGCTAGGTGAAGGAGGTTAGGCTTGTTTCCCATAAAGTGGTAAACTGGGTCACGCTGTGCATGGGAGACTCTTTCGTTCGCTTGTCCATAAAACACTTACAAGGTGTCCATTTTGAGATGCTTTGATGGGAGAGGTGATGCTCACATGACCTAGGACTGTGAGGCTCTGTACATACCCATAAAAGGAAAGGTAGTTTAAAAAATTATAATGTCTGCTCAGCTATGGTGGATTCTAATTTTTTTAACATTTTTTATTGATTTATAATCATTTTACAATGTTGTGTCAAATTCTAGCATAGAGCACAATTTTTCAGTTATACATGAACATATATACATTCATTGTTACATTTTTTTCTTTGTGAGCTACCATAAGATCTTGTATATATTTCCCTGTGCTATACAGTATAATCTTGTTTATTTATTCTACAATTTTGAAATCCCAGTCTATCTCTTCCCACTCCCCGCCCCCTTGGCAACCACAAGTTTATATTCTATGTCTGTGAGTCTATTTCTGTTTTGTATTTATGCTTTGTTTGTTTGTTTGTTTTAGATTCCACATATGAGCGATCTCATATGGTATTTTTCTTTCTCTTTCTAGCTTACTTCACTTAGAATGACATTCTCCAGGAGCATCCATGTTGCTGCAAATGGCGTTATGTTGTCGGTTTTTATGGCTGAGTTGTATTCCATTGTATAAATATAGCACATCTTCTTTATCCAGTCATCTGTTGATGGACATTTAGGCTTATGGTGGATTCTTGACAGACCTGTTTTCAGCTAGCTTAATTCTCATCCTTCTCAAAAACACTTCAATTGCATTTGACTGCTAAAAAGAAAACAGTTTCTTTTACGCTACTCACGACACTTCTGACACCAAACGTGTGGGTGTTTTCTCTGCACCAACCAGTTTCCCAATTCTCCAGACACCAGCAGGGTAGCCTACAATTTAATTATGACATTAACTACCTGGAGTTAGTACACACCCCACAGGTTAAGGGCTCAGTCCCATAAGACTGGTCCCCACTTCAGATGCCAGTCACAAGTCCCAGGTTGTCACCTGTACTTCTGAACGACTAGCCAAAAACTGGGATTCCCACAGCTCCTTTCTCAGTTTCAATAACTTGCCATAATAGCTCACAGAATTCAGGGAAACCGTTACTTACGTTTACCTGTTTATTATAAATGATATAGGAAAGGAAACAGGTGAACATCTAGATGAAGAAGTACACAGAATGAGGTCCGGAAGGGCCCCATGCACAGGGGCTTCTGTTCCCGTGGAGCCGTGGTGCACTACACTCTCCAGCACACAAATGCTCATCACCATTCAGAAGCTCTTTGAATTTCGTACTTTAGGGAACTTTTGTGGGGCATGAACATAGGCATGACTGATTATTAAGTCAATCTCCAGGTCCTTCCCTTTCCCCAGAGGACTGAGGGTAGGGCTGAAAGTTCCAAGCATCTAATCATGGCCTCGTCTTTCTAGGGACCAGCCTGCACAGAGAAGCCCACCAAGAGTCACCTCATGAGAACAAATGATGCTCCAACACCTAGGAAATTCTGAAGGAGTTAGGAGTTCTGTGTATTACCCTCATCGCTCAGGAAATTACAAGGGTTTCAGGAACTCTGGTTTAGGAACCAGTGCAGAGACCAACACACATTTCTTACTATGATACAACTACATTTGGCATCACCACAGTGGTGGAATTTTCATTCAGTCCTTCATTCAATTACATGCTTAAAGGTGGCTATGAAGCCATATGTTTATTTCTCAAGATTCTTCCTGATTGGGGCCAACTGAGAAAAAACTGAGCTCAAAATGGCAGAATGTTCTCAGTCATTGGTGTTTAGTGAGATTGGCTTATTTATAAATATATTGTCTCCTTTCTATGCCAAATGCACACATCTCTCAGCTATATATGGAAAACATCCCTAAAGTGACTTATTTTAGGTGATAAAAATATCCTGATAAAGCAGTGGAAGTGCTTGGGATATTTGGCTGGAACAGACCAAGGACCTGTGACTCACCCTGTTGGGAATGTTGCCTCAGCGAGGCCCCTGGAAGATAAACAAGATGAGTAGAGTTTTCCTGGCTTTGTCATACCCTCTTCTGCTCTCTGTAGACAAAAATCACCGGCTTTCTGTCCACTTTGAGTGTTCTACTTGTAAAATCAGAATAATAATTACTACCAGATAAATCTTAAAAACTCACCAGGTTTCCCCCTCATTTCCGATAGACTTTGTGGCATTCAAGATTCTGTCATTTCCCCAACCTCTCTGCTCCAGTAAGGCTGTCCTCATCACAGCATTCAGAGTGCCCTCCTTGATTCAAGCTCTCAGCTTCTGTTCAGGACCACGCATTGGTCCTGACCCTGGTCTATGTCATGTCATTTTTCTGGAATGTTCTTTCCCGTTCTCAACTCCCTGAAATACTAGTTATTCTGCAAAGGTCAGCGTGAGTCTCTTTGATAAAAGTCTTCCATAATGACACTATCTCTCGTAGACATTCTTATCTCCAAAGCCCCACAGTCCATGTTATCTAACGTGCATTATTTTATATTACTTAACTGTTTGCTCTGGTGTTTATTTTTCCTCCCCGCTGGATGGTAAGGCCATTTATACGAGGAACTATTTCTTCTGGGTCTTTTGTTAGAGCCCTTGTCTTTGTTGGAGCTCAGACAATGCTTTTGCTCATTGAAGATGCTCAGGAGTTAACGGAATAGAGGCAGGAGTCCTCATTTGCTGAGATTCACTAAATCTTGTGCTCTTTGGATGACTCACACCAGGAAGGGTTTTTCAATGGGTTGTCCTTTTCTTTGTAGCTCTTCTGCGAGGTGGAGTGGAAAGAGCATAGACTTGGGTGTCAGAGAATCCACCAGTTATTCATTAAATGGCCGCAGCCAAGTTTTATTCAAAGCCCTTAAACATCGGCTGCCTCATCTGCATGGTAGAGATAATTCTTTTCTCTTCAGAGTGCAGGAAATCACTTTTGTAGGGAAGCTGGCACAGTGTTTGGCACCAAGGCGATGTCTCTTCTTGCTACCCATTTGGACTCCACCCAGGCTGCACCTTCTTCTCTGCCTTTAATCAGGTAGTTCCCAAGTGCCCGTTCTGTTTGGTGATACCCTGACTAATGAAACCTTTCTAAGGAAGCTCAGTTTGGTGCCAACAAACTCACGAAAAACCTCCTCTAAAGCTTGTGAAGCGGAGCTGTCTGGGTATATTAGCATGACAAAGCCACCTAAGGACACAGCTATTTGTCCCCGTCCAGTTGAAGAGGGAGCCATGTTGGCTCAGCAAAATGACCAAGTGTTCTAAATATATCTGGATCCACAGCCTCTTCTTTCTTTGCTTTCCCTCCTCCTTCCCCTCCTCAGCAACCAGGTTCCTCAATGACTTTGCCTCCACCCCACCACAAAAACTGTGAAGGATCTGATACAATTAATGCTCTCTGATCAACTGATTGAACTTAAACGTGAATGGGTTTCAGCCAGTGTGTTACCCCAACCAGAAGTTGTATTTTAAGCGCTTTCAGTTTATGATGGTGTAAGAAAACTCTATCCCTTAATAAGAGATCTCCAGAAATCACCAAGCAGGGGGTTTTTCTGGAGCAGGAAAATGCTGCAATCCGAATCCCCCAGCTCCAAGGTTGACCTTGAACATAAACCAGAAGTTCCCATTTTTAAGGTGATAGGATGTGTTTGTTCAGTAGGGACGTCATTCTTCTTTCCCAGTGGCTCTGTTCCCTCTTCTCCTGGGGAAAGTTGACCTGGGCTGGGTTCTGGGGCTTGCTCTGGTGGCTTGGCAGGGACTGGATAGATAAGTGAGTACTGTATCCTAGGTCCCTTCCAGCCTCTGGAGGATTCTGTTCCCTGCCACTGGTACCCTGGAGGGGACCTCCTCCCTCCCGAGTGAGGTATCTTACTTAACCCCATTCTAAACCGTATCCTTCCCGTTTTCCATCGAAGATCCAGGGGTGCACTGTTTATGTTACCTGACACGCTAAATGCTCTTTTAGTTAGCATTTCATTAACAAACTTTCCATCTAACTCTAAAATCCTCATACATCACAACAGGTAGCGTGGCATGGCAGAAAGCATGGCATGGCTCTGAGGCAGGAGATCTAGGTTCAGTTTCACTGCACGGCCATCACTGGTCCTCAGTATTCTCGAGGCCCAGCTCTGGGTGCTGGGCAACCAGAGACAGTTAACACCAAGTGCAGGCTTAGTGCTCACGGTCACAAACGAGTGTTCCAGCCCTGCCTCTAGGTAACTGACCTTGGACAGTGCATTTGCCCCTGTGGGTTACGTGTCGAATGACGGCACTGGAGGAGGTGAATCTAATGCCCACTCTAGCCATAGATTTTTATGAATCTTTGTGCAGCCTCTAAGAATTAATACTTCAAAGTGATATTTTCATACTGTAACAGCCCTTCCTGTCTGACATCCTTGAACTTTTTTCTTTGTCTCTTACATTACTTCCATCTTTGTTAATGATGCCCGTGGCTGAGAAACAGCGTGTGATCAAAACCTCTGCTCCTCAATATGAGATGTTTGCTGGGATTAGAGCTAGCCTGTTCCCCTTGGTTTCTCCTTCCTGCATCCTGCATCTCTCTTGATTCTTCTTCCTGTTTTCACCAGCCCCTTGACTTGCATGTGTTGTGAATACCTCTTTGTTTATTTCACCCATTAATATAATTGCTCAGCATTTGTGTTATGGTTCTTTCCAATCACATCCCCATAGACTTCTTCCTTACGATTTCCTGTTTATCTCCCTACAGTCTTCAAATCCAGTGGTTCTCAACCAGGGGTGACTTTATACACCCCACCCCCACCCCCAGGAAGAGTTTGGCAATGTGTGCAGACA